GCATGCGGGACACTTTTGGGTCGTATGAAGTTCACACAGCAGATCACATACAAGTCGCATTGAACTGGAAATGTGAACAAACTCACAAAGAAATCCTCATTGAGCATTAAGTCCTGCAGTGTGAACGTAGCCAATCTGTGGGATTGTTCAGTCAGTTAATACGCCGTTATCCTGATTGGTGACATTAAATGTCGTGTCGGAGTCAGAATCCAAGGCTGTCGCTATGTTAAGGCTGTTTTTTAATGGGTTCTGTTCATTTTTCCTAAAAACTAGGGGTGGAACTTTGACACGTTAATTACGATTAATTAATTAAAACAAAAATAACGCATTATAAACATTAACGCATTTAATCGCAGTTTGCATCCAGACAACACGGAACGTGCCTGACTTCATGGTCCACCGATCACTACTTAATTTTTCTAATCGAGTCCCACCCCTACTACAAACCTGTCGGATAGCAAGGTTTTCAGATTACTAAGGGTCGGATTATCAAGTCACGACTGCATGTGCAATTCATGCATAACTTTGGAGAAACAACTTATGGAAAAGGAACTCAGGGCCACAGAAAATCTTTTTGAAAGTCAAATAATCAGAATAGAGCACAAAAGCTGCCACATTTGTTTTCTCCTGCCCACATTTTCCCCCTCGAGCCTTCCATCAAAATCAGTTGCATCAGTTATGTTTATGTCTTTACAAAGTCTGTGTCATGCTCGTTTATTTTCTTCAGCAGCAATGCATCCAAATTTATTCCTCTCCCTTTGAACGGCATATAAAACCAGCACAGATGCATCAGCTACAATTTCACAATTTTGTTTTATTTATTTATTTTCCCGGTGATGAAAGTCAGTTGCTTTAATGTCGCTTTCTGAATTAATTATTCGGTTAAAAAAACAGTATTTTGAACACAGCTGCCTCAGTGAGTAACTTTGAAATGTAGACTGTCCAACAGAATTGACCCATAATGTGGTGAACGCACAGAAAAAACCAAACATGAGTGGGTGTAAATGGAGCTCAATTAAATATGTGATAATAACAACACAAGAATTAAGTTTCTATCTGTACGTATTATGTGTAGCTTTAATCTGCACATGCTCAGAACAGGAGACGTTGTGCGGAACAGAGTGCAAACTGTTTCGGTGTCGCTGCGACACAGTGTGGGCTGAGACAACTGTCAGATTTGAGACTGAACCCTCTGGGAGTTGAGCTCCAAAACCACCCAGAGAGTGACGCCGACCCCTGTGCTAGCAGCAACAAGTGTGTTTAGACTGACGCCCCGCTCATAGCTATGAAGCAGCGTGGGTTACTTTCTGATGCATTCCCTCCCAACGCTGTTTATGAGCCTCGGATGACTGACAACTTGGGTCCAGGAGCCACAATCCCCCAAAAAACAACCACCCTGCTTCCACAAAAC